AGTCTGGTGGATTGTGTGAAGCAATTTCATAGAAATTTACCTGGAAATCTGCACACTCTATGTCCAGGAGGAATGCCATAGGTGCGGTTCTTCGTAGGACAAACATCGTTACCTACAGATGAAGCAGGGATAATCTTTGGGATGGTCTGTACCATGCTTCCATTGGTATGTTGTTTCTTCTTGCACTCACGAAACATTGGTAAGGTGTAATTCAGCCCAAATGAATCTTTACAACATGTTTGTGTCTCTTTGTTTTCGTCTGATGCTGCAGAACAACCTGTTAGGAAGATGAGTAACAATGTGGTACCGTAAACTGAGGTTTTGAAGATGACCCAACCGACTAAAGACTCACAAGACTAGAATGACTGCAGGCCTAATACCAATTCGCTCTCCCTGAGCATTCCGAAGACTATACCGAATGCCCACAAGATGCAAACAAAACGGAAGGCATTGGTCTTTCGACTTCGAGTCAGAAAGTCTGCAAGTACAAAGGATCACAACAATGAAGGTTTCTCGTTCTGAGAATTCTGACTACAAGATGAAAGAACACTGAAACCGGAGTCCCCATTCCAGAGGCAAAGGAAACCGTATTTTCTTTCTTGCTAGCCTTTGATAAGCTTCGAAGGTTCAAGAGCGACTAAAAATAACTGTTGTCTTCTCATCTTTCTGACGACTGTTTTTTCATCACTGGACATAATTATATAGCGACAAATTTCAAGTCCGAAATATTTTGTCTCTAGAACCTTTGCTGTTCTAAACCTTCTGACGACCATTTGAATCGCACAAGAAACCGAAAGATCTACTCGTCTGAAGGCCTTAAAAAACTATCATTATCAGTAACAACTTGTGTTTTCGAAAGATCCAGATCAAAATCTTAGTACATTGGTCCTTCTACTGGATCCATGTTCAACTAGAGCGCAAGCGATGAATACATCTTATTTGCAATATTCTCTAGTTTGTAACATTTACCCTAACATATGTCCTAGATTTCAATTGATCGTAATTTTTCCAATTAATACCTAGATACTTCTATCGAATTTAACATATACTCTTTCCTTTTCACATGAGCATGCACACTTCGCGCAGTATCCAGATGATGGTGCCAAAGTTAGGGAGCATTTACGGTCAATATTCAAAACTTTCCCTTTTCATGGTATACGTAGAAGTATTGAATAATAGGCTACATGAGACTTACAGGCACTTTAAATAACGATAACAATAATAATATAACATTTATAAAGCATCTTTCATGAGAAACAGAGAGCATAGACAAGAAATACTTACAAACAAGCAAATAAAGAGAAAATTGTGCTCCGAAGCTTACAACAGTTACAAACAAGATGGATTAAAACAAATTAGAAAATATATGGTGGCAAACACTTTTTGAAAGCTGTGATAGTATGGCAATTAATTAGTACAGAAGGAGGGAGTTCCAGGTTTTGGGGGCAATAAATGAAAAGGCACTATCACCTATCTGTTTACTGGTTCGATGATGGTAAGCGTGTTACTACTGGCTGATCATGTATTATATATATGGATGTTTGCGCATGAAGTAGATCACCTAGGTATTCCGGGGCTTGATTATTGAGACATTTGTAAGCGACAATTAATGTCCTACGTATGAAATGATTATTACCGCGAAGCCAGTGAAGATCACTGATGAGAGGGGATATCCGACACGGACAAACTTTGTTTTACAATGAATGAGCCGTGCTGCTTTACTTTTTGGAGATCTTGAAGCGATATACCATGAAATAGTGAATTAAAAAAAAAAAACTGCTTACTTTCATCTCACTGGGCTATTTACGAGTGGTGAAGTGTGCCCCCTCCCACATGAACGACAAGGGGGATTACTATTTGTCATGAAATAGTTTATGATTAGGCACATTTATACAATGACTATGGCTAGGGTATCAGAATGCTTTATTCGAGTGTTACATACCGATCGATAAAAAGGCTACAATCCCACAGATCTTCAGTAATTTTAAATCCATCTTCTTCGAGTGATCTATTACGAAACAGGTAGAAGTAGCAAGGTATTGTGCGAACCTGACATTCATCTAATCTCTGAATGAAATCATCATCGCCATTATTGTTACTATCACCATCATTGTTATCATTATCACCTTCATAACCAGCAGCAGCAGTTGCAGAATAATTGTAATTTTATTCATCTTCGTCTGCGTCGTCGTCACCATCTTCATTTACATCATCATCATCATCAGCAGCAGCACTATTATCAACATCCTCGTCATCACCATCATCACTATCACCATCATGTAGAATATGCATGTTGTTATAAGTTTGTCAAATAGACAAGTTTGTCAAATAATGAATTTATAATCATATTATCACTCCCCACTTACAGAATAAATGATATTTTTGTCATTTTTTAATCTTATTTTTGAAATGCATATGTCTTTATTACAATCATTTGTGATTATCCTTATTTCAGGGATCCACGTTCTACGAGCCCTCCTTCTCAATAAATCCCTCCATTTCCACACTTTTTCTTTAGAAAAGCAAACAACAAATGTATACATTCTATTAATAACTTGCAAAATGCTTTATATATACTTTTACTTTTGATCGACTTTTTCTCATAATAATGAATATGGATTGTTCTGTTGGAACTGAAAATAAAACTGAAACTGAGAAAATCCACTTATCAAAATCAAAACAATACTTACAACTTCTTTGATCGACAACCTATTCCAGGTTTAACACATGTATATATAATTGTGGCGAACTTTGCAATGATTCCTCTCCATTTGTTCATTTCATGTAGCTGCAAATGTTAAAGTCTTTATACAGACCTACTAGCGTAGCTTCGAAACGTTTGGCATACCCATCAGCTTTGTTAATACCTGTGTATTGAATCAAATAATGGGATGCCGATGAACTTGTACTTATGACGGTTTCGTGAAGCGCTGCCCAGATTCTTAGAGTGAACGTCTCCTGGTGTGCGAACAGGCAGGGAATGTGTGGGTGTGCGTGCATGTGTGTGTGAGTGCGTGCGTGTGTGTGGGTGTGTGGGTGTGTGTGTGCGCGCGCGCGTATGAGGGCGTTAACAACCACTACATGTCATCAGTCTACAGTGTTTTCAATTGGAAACATGAACAAGAAATGGCCAACCTCTATTAGAGCAATCGTTTTAGATTAGTTGTTTTGAAGAAAGAAAAACATTCATATTTTAAGTTTACTTTAAGAGACGGGATCAGTATCAGCATCAAAATTACATAATGGTTTACAAACCATCAGTCGCTTAAATCTATCAAATAATTTTATCTTTCTCTCTAGGGAGTCATCAAAAGCTTTAAAAGAATAATGTTTTCAATCAAGAAAACCAACAACATCATGACCTAATTCCACAACTTGTACTTATGACGGTTTCGTGAAGCGCAGCCCAGATTCTTGGAGTGAACGTCTCCTGGTGTGCGAACAGGCAGGGAATGTGTTGTGTGTGTGTGTGTGTGTGTTTGTTTGTGTGTATTTGGGCGTGTGCCAATGTTTGTTTGAAACACAAGCATAATCGGGTTTTTTTGTTGCTTTTTAAAACATGAAATAAAAAGTTTATACACAGAAGTCTTGTATATCTTGTTTCCATAGAAACAAATTATGTTCAATTTTATTAGCCTATCTTATTCCATTTACTTGAAAGCCATTACATTTTATTGTGCAAAAGTTTTCATGCTCCCATAGAAATAAGAGCTCTCCTCTTTTGAAACGCTCGTTTCATTTTTCCCCATAGAGTAAAAAACAAGGGGCATGCGCTAACGCCATCTAGTTAAATATGAATTCGTCACTGGCATTAAAAGTGATTGCATTGGCCTTCCTTTCTTCTGATAAATCAAATCAAGTGTAATTGAATGATACTCTACAGTGTCAAGTTTTCAGCATGAAACACATGCACGCACAACCCCACACACAGATACACTCTCTCAGAATTGGTAGATAAATTATATTAGTGCTTCACTCGGTATTCTTAATCCTTGAAGTCAGGATGTGTCTCTTCAGCGTACGTATTTTCACGAGGAAACCCTTGTACACAAAATAAGTGGATTTTATAGATTCGGATATTTTCCGGAAATTTCGGCGAATCGTGGATCTGGCGACATTTAATCCGGGATTTATTGCGTCCGAGATTAAGGGCTAGGGTTAGAATTGCAATCGGGTTAAAGGTTAAGATAGGTTTAGGGTTAGATATCACTATTGGTCTAGGGTTAAAGCTAGGAATTTGGTTAGTGTAGGATATTGACTGTGAAATAATATTGTCATCGGAACAGTTTTCAAACAACCGATATATCGGGCATAATGTTATTTCAAGGAGATGAAAGGGAGGTCTTCTTGTTTTATTCAATGAATTTAAATACCACCGTCTTTTTGTATTGAATTTAATGTTTGATAAAGAATTTCGTTTCATCATCATAACCTTTAAAATTCACGTTCATTAATTGAATATTTCAGCATGTATTTATCTGTTTTTCCAGTCTTTGAATAACACACGGGTCCGTCCACGGTTTCCCTACTTTGCCTCTCTCCCAAAATCTAGATTCGAAATTATTGTTTTGTCTAAGTTAAGCCTACATCCCTAACGTGAGTATTAACGATATGCAGGAAGGATATATAAAGGTAGGAAGTAAAATACATGGACATGAGTATACATTACAATCTCAATTTAAGAAAAAAACACTTTAAAGTGAATTATTACAATTATGACTGTTTTCTGGGGCAATGTATTGTTTAGCAATAATGTAAGATGATACGGTATCGACAGGCCAAACACTTCATTCAGGGGGTAAGTGTCCTAGTACATGCTTGGCAATTTGTGTGAGCGGGGACTAAAAGTTCTACATTATGACGTATTAAACTGGTTAGGAGTGCGATATTTGATAGTTGGTCTACGTTAAAATAAATGATTAATATATCCGTTGAGTCATTATTGTACATTAAAACCGTCAAATAAGACAACCAACCAATTAGAGAGGAGGACAAGCTTTTCAAAACTTGCTGCGACCGATTATTTTAAAAACAGTCCGTCGAAAGAGGGGTTGAGCCATGGCATAGGCCAAAGGATTCACCAGACTGTTGCTGAAAGCTACCCAGCGTGTGATCCCGGAAAACCCGACTTTGTTCTTGATGAACTGGTAGAAATCGGGGAAGAAGGCATACATGGTGACGGTCACAGCGGTTGGTAACCAAGTCACGATGAAGACAAACACGATGAAGGTCAGGGTTCGCATTGCCTTCTGTCCTTCGGCCCTGGATTCCCGTTGAGGTTTCTTAATGACCTTGTTCTCGGACGGCGCCATGTTTTCGCCATTAGATGAGCCTACTGCGTGCGAAAGGTTGATTTTCGGATCAGTGTGATCAACAGAGATGTTTTCAGTTCCTTTCTCATTGCTTCCTACGTCTCCGGACGATCCAGACTTCCCGATGTTCTGGGATATGCTTGATATCGCAACTGTATCTTTCTTGACTGCAGAATCTTCTTCGAATTCCTCCAGACCAGTTGTAGTTACAGTACTCGATTCTTCACCTTTGCAAATGGAATCGGCAACGGACAGTTCTTTTCCCAAGTTTTTTTTCTTTCTCATGTATTTTGAGAGGTGCTTACTGCCGATGTTCTTGACCCGGAAGTATATTCGGACGTACAAACCAGTCATAATGACGAATGGCAAGCCAAATCGGAGAGCAAACATGAACAGGCTAGACGTGTAGGTCAAGGAATAGTTCGGTCTGGAGAAACCAGACGATGTGACAAGATTGTTTGGTTCGATGAAGTCCCAAGCGATGGACATCATCATCCAAAGCCCAAAGGATGAGACCCAAGTGAAGATACTGACCGCTATAGCCTTGCGGATACTCCTTCTCTGATAGTGCTGTATGGGATAGAACGTCGCCAGGTACCTATCAATACAGACCACGACAACGCCACAAACAGACACACCCAGGATAGAGTTCTGAAACCCCATGAAAAAAATACTGGCCACCTTGCGAAAGGGCCAACCGTCATAGAGTTGGATCATTGACCAGATCGGCATGCAGATGGATCCAACGACAAAGTCCGCAATGGTCATGTTGAGGATGAAGTAGTTGGTGTACGTCCGTAGTTTCTTCTCCAAGCAAAAAGCAACCAGTATTAGGGAATTAGCCATGACTGTCGACACAGCCAGTAGCACGAGCATGAAGAAGGCCAGGCTGAACACTGGTCTGTTGGTGTCTGTGGGTGTTGTATTGGTCATATTGAGGCCGTCAAGGATTCCTGTCATGTCTGTAGGCCAAGCTGAAGCGTTGACGATATCCATTATGACAGGTATGCCAGCCCCGCCTGTAGGAACGAATACAGATACCGGTTGAAGTTACAATTTGTGGATATACTCAAATTTACCAAATGAACTTGCTATTTAAAGAAAGAATTCATATTCATGGACATTATGGCCCGAATTCACAAAGGAGGTTTAAATTTAACCCATGGTTTAAACCCTTATTTACATAACCCATGGTCTAAAATTAGCGCAAAATAAGCGCGAAACATTCAGATGTCCAATATTAGACGCGCGCAAGGCGAGGTACGCTTAATTTGCGCTAATTTTAGACCATGGGTTATGTAAATGAGGGTTTAAAACATGAGTTAAATCTAAACCTCCTTTGTGAATTCGGGCCTATGAATGCTAGGGATTTAGTTAAAAGTGCCGTCACACCTAACACCTAACCACCGATAAAGACGGGTTTTTCCGATATTGTCCTTAAGTTGACGCATCATATACACATTTAAAAATAGTGACCTATCGCTTCAATGTTGGCTCATACGCAAACAGGCCAAACTAATTATGCTACACAATATCACCTATTGAAAATAATCTACATTCCCAATTGACTGCTCTGATTTAAACAAGGGAATCTACAATTTACAAGTTTAGCTTTTTTACTAGGTTTCCCCATATTTCACTAATGTACACACATATTTGTCTAATTTCAGTTTAAATACCATGCAATTGTATTTTTAAATTCGTATGTTATTTTGACTGTATCGTAACTTTCATGGTCTGATATTATTGTATGTATTTTTAAAAAACCTATTGAAAGAACAATTCGTTTTATTCTTGTTCTTAAGACTTATGATTTATGTAATGACTGTGAATGTGACATATGAAATAAAACTAAACTGACGAAATTAAAACTGGAAACCTATTATTGCATTTGAGCGATATTGAGAGTCGGCCAGAATGTCCCCAGCAGTATATAGCAATGTAAAGAAATATGAGTATCATGGTCTCTAGTGCAAATGATAATGTACATCAATTATTTGCCGTGAGATCCACACCCGGTATTTTTAGATCGAAAACTTGGTAACGGGTAACAAATAGCTACATAGAATCACATTTTCACGAGTTCGCAGAGTCGTTTGTTTGAATTAATAATATCGAGTGTATTTTGAAGTATCTGAACCCTGTATGACCCTAATCGCACCAATGGATCTTATAAATTTGTCTCGTGCGGTATAACTGTATGTATTATTTCATCTGAATGTAGTGTACATATACAGTTATCAAAAGAAATACGGACGGATCGCTCTATTCAGAGCCATTATTCAAATGGCTATGTTATTCCTAAACACCCAGAAGGCCAGAACAACCAAAAAAGGAACGAAATAAACAAGGAAAAAATAAGGAAAGAATTAAACATGCATGAACATAACACAAAACATTGAATAAACTATGTACATATAAATATAATAACAAATATCACAAATATATTGTACGCTCCTGTACCGTCTAAAATCGGTGACACGACATTTGCTCCTGCGACAATTGCTCCGGGCTTTATTTCGTCTAAGATGTAGGGTTAGGGTTAGGGTTTCAATAGGGTTTTATGTTAGGTTTAGGGTTAGGTTTAGGGTAGGGTATAGTGTTGAATCCAGGGTTGAAGTTAGCCATTCGATTAGTGTATGAAATTTACAGGGGAGCAATTGTCGCCGGAGCAAATGTCATGGAATCCTAAAATCCCCTCCCTACCCGATTATAATGATGCACTATTACTACTGAACTTCAACCCTCCCAACCCTTCCAGGTTTACTTCAAAAGTTTATATACAGTGCGTCCGAGAAAAAACGAAACCGATAATTATCGATGTTTTATCATAACTTAGTCACATTTATAATTACTAAATGACACATAATTATTTGGAAAGTATGTATGAAGTATTTCGTTTACGGCTGATTGTCAACGAAATGGAGTTAACTCTTTTGTCAACTCTGTTTGTTGCTTCGGCAGGCACCCAGTGAAAACGAATTCGTTTGATAAAATTAGCACTACTTTAAACATACAGAACATTGGTCATTCCTTGCTCATTTTTCCTGATTGAGGTGTCATATGAAAGGGCAGAAACTCAACTTTCTAGAAATGAGATTTTATCCTTGAAATTCAGATAGAGTCCGCCAAATGATTTTTTGGTTTCCTCTCTTCAAATTTATTTTAATTACTCATGCGTGAAATATGCATCATATAAGTTGCATCTAAATGAAAGAGGAGGATCTAAGCTTTCCAAATATGTGTCATTTATCAATTATAAATGTGATTAATTTATGATAAAACATCGATAATTCTCAGTTTCGTGTTTTCTGAGAAGCACTGTATATCAAAGTTTTCTATCTATACCCATCGATAGCCAGTGCATAGAATTATATGAAAACTTCTTAAGAGCTTTGCATTTAAAGATTCAAAAGTAAACACAGCTGTAGCGCGTAACTCAAAAGGAAATTACACCTGAAAAACTGAATTTAAAAAGTGAAAGTTGGGGATGTGCATTTGGTATGAATAATACAACAAGAGCATTGTCGTTGTGGTTCACCATCAACAAGGTTCTGAATTAGTCACGTATATCATATTTGTTCCTTTGAAGTGTAGCAGCAGAGATTTCTCTATAATTCCATTAATCTAAATCGGTGAAAGGGTATTCTTTTTTTCTTGCTAAGATTATTTCAAAGAGGCATCTTAACATTGAACATGATAACTTAATGATCATATAGTATTATATCGACGGCACGTAGACACATTAGCATGGTTTCGAAATAAAACATAAATGCACGCAGGCGCGTACGCAGGGGGGGGGGGGTTGGGGTTAAACCCCCCTTTAGTTTTTGTTTTAATTGTGTATTTTTAAGCAACCCCCCCCCCTTCTGTGTATTTTTTTTTTTTTTTTAATTTACACAAAAAAAATTATGCCAATGGCTGACCTAAAAAGTAACCTTACCCCCCCCCCCCCCCTACGGAGCAAAATGTCAAATTTTCAAATTTCGAGACCAAAAAAAAAAAAAAAAAAAAAATGTCCTCTTACAATACTTTACAGGAATAATGGTATTGGACATAAAATACATTTTTGGGACGATAAAACAGACTGGAAAAGGCTAATAGCGTCGATGGACGAAAGGGTTGGGTAGCAATGTCTTAGATTACGATTACTGACAAAGATTCTCAACTTACACCACAATATGAATAACACCACATATGAAAACACAAAATATTACCATGAAAAGCTGTAATGACGATGATGATAATAATACCGGTTTCGTACATAGCGCTTTACAATTAACTGGCCAAAGCGCCTGCAAGATTATTATTGCTCAGGTATAATGTGAAAGTAATATTTACCTGATTAAAATTGATGTAAAGGCTTCCCGTACCTTAAACAACGTCTGAAGTGAAGATGCGTCGTATCTGCAGTTGTCTCAGGCGGATGGACTGCCTCATGGACGCGTCGTAGGTACAGCACTGTTTATCGGTATCTCGCTATCGGATCAGCAAAACGACACTACAAACCTTCTGCGCATGAACAGCATTATATACCACGTCTTTGGCGTTGGAAATACTCGAAATACCCCCCACCCCTCCCTCCTCTGCCACCGCCCCTCAGCAAGGTGATCGCGCAGGCATATACTTTCACAATAATCATACTATGAAAGGATAAGACAAGAAAGTGCCTGGTTTCCGGATTCGGGGATGATTTTAAAGCTCTGCAAACTTGAATGTCCCGCGGCATTGTGATTTGAAAATGCACTCTGTCTAATGATGCTTTATAATATGTATTTTTTCTTTTGCCCTCTGGTTGATGAAAGAAACATGGGCTCTCAGCTTTCATGATAAAGTCGATTTAGACGAATCGAGTTAGTAAGAACACATGTTTTTTTTTGTGTGATTTCGTTATGACAGAGGTAGAAATTTTTCTTAATTAAAAGCAATTAAGTTGCTAATGAACTCTTTGATATATTACATATTATTCCTTTATAGTACTTTATTATTTCTTTGGAGTACTTTATTTACTTTTTCTATATTATAATTGATGCAACTTACCTTTATTAAGGGTGTCGTCTCGACAAATCCTCATGATTTGTTATGGCCACCCTATTCCAAAAATGCTCTACCTTGTGTTGTTATATGATGTACCGCTTTATTGTTGTATCATTTTACCTTATTTTGTACTCTTGATCGATTTTTACAGGTAGTCTGTCATGATTGTATTCTGTCTTGTATATTTTATTGGAATTGAATAAACTGGATTTAATTGAATTTAATTGAATTGAATTAAAGTCAATAACAGTGTAATATTCCAACTGCAGCAGTATTTCAAAGTCATGGAAGACATTACAAATATGCAACTATCATATTTTTGTAATTCATTTATCTAATATTTTGTAAAGCTTATTGAAATGTATAATGAAATGCACTATCTTGTTATTATCTTTACAGTCATGATTATTATTATAACCCTCGACATCATCATCATCATCATCATTATTTTCTTTATCATTCATGTTATAATTATGATGTCATTAAAATTATGCTAGTTTTATTATCTAGAAACAGGGTAAAAGGGTGGGGTATTATTACTAATAATAACAAAGTAACTTATAAAGCGCCACCTACAATATGTGTAGTGATCAAGGCGCATATTAACATGCCAGTCCCCTGTTTCATAGACGCTATGTTACAGTAACACAACACTTCGTCCTTCAGATGGGACGTTAAATGGGGGCCATGTGTAGAGGAGGGTCACCACTTTGCATGTTAGGAACCCACTGCACTTACCAAATAACAGTAGGGGGAAACTCTTCGGTAGTGATCCACCTGCACCTCCCTCCCCCAATCACATAGGTAGGGAAGAACGGAGGGTCACACTGATTCAGTTTGCTGTTCCCCTCCCACGCACAAGACAGTGACGCCCAAAACCTATAAATGATAGCATTCCATTAAAAGGGATTAACTTTGTATACCTAATGTCGATCAAAATATATCTCTGACGTACCCGT